GAAAGACAAAGAACACCCAGGTCAACTGAAAAAGTTTGAAGATCAACAATTACAAGCATTATTGGATGAAGATGCATGTCAAACTCAAAAACAATTTGCAAAAAGACTAAACAATTTTGATCATTTACAAGCAATGGGAAAGATTTTAAAGGAAGGAAAATGGGTGCCACATCAACTGAACAAAAGACAAATGGAAAACCAAAAAGTCATCAGTAAAATGTTGCTTCAACGGCACTAAAGAAAATCCTTTTTGCATCGAATTGTGACTGGCGATGAAAAATGGATTTATTTTGAGAATCCCAAATGCACAAAATCATGGGGTGATCCAAGTCAACCATCAACATCAACTGCAAGGCCAAATCGCTTCAGAAAGAAGACAATGCTCTGAGTTTGGTGGGATCAGGAAGGTGTGGTGTGGCAGGTGATCAGGAAGGTGTGGTATATTATGAGCTTCTAAAACCAGGTGAAACCATTAATACTGATCGTTACTGACAACCAATATCAATTTGAACCATGCTTTGATCATGAAATGACCAGTATATTCCAGAAGACACAGCATAGTAATTTTGCTTCATGATAACGCACCATCACACACTTCAAAACTATTTAAAGACATGTTAAATGATCTTGCCTGGGAAGTATTAACCCACCCGCTGTATTCACTAGACCTTGCTCCTTCAGATTACCACTTGTTCCGATCGATGGCATATGCACTTTCTGAAAGGCGCTTCAAAACGTACGAAGAAGTGGAAAATTGGGTCTCTGAATGGTTTGCCTCAAAACAAGAAAAGTTCTATTGGGACAGTATCTACAAATTACCTGAAAGATGGGGGAAATGTGTAGCTAGCAATGGACATTACTTTGAATAAAGCACTTTTGATGTTACTCTTGAAATTATAGTGTTTTCTTTGATTAGAAAATCCTCCATTATTAACTGGTATACCTAGTACACCATTAAGTTCTAATAAATGATAAAAATGTCATAGTGAAATAGCAGGAGGGTCATCAATGGACAAGGGTTTTCAAGAAACTTGAAGGCAAGGGGTAGGTGGTGGAATGATGACTAACAAGTACAGAAGTGAAGCCACAGCCTAGAATAAAAATACAGCAAGAATTCTGGAACTGGTAGGGAGCAGTACTGCCAGGCATAACCCAGAAGGCTTTCCAGATTTGAAATGCAGATAGCATAGAAAGCAGACTGACAACTGATGCTAAAACTGGGGATTGCTAAAAGAATCACTAACAGTGGACCCCACCTTCCCCATCCTCCAGCCATTACCTTGCAGAAGATCCAGGCCCAAAAGGAAGGGCTCGTCTTTAAAGATGTAGACACTTGTGAAAATACAATAGCAGTAGAATGGAAAATCCTTTCCGCTGTTTTTGATGCTGTGTTTGTACCTCAGCTGGAGGACAAAATAGAGATGGTTCTTGATCATGAGAGTGATGTGCCAGGGCCCATGCAGGTGGCCCCACTGTCAGGGAATTGAGGAACAAGACCTTCCCTGGTCACCTGACCTGCTGACACAGGGGCTACCCTGTGCACGGCACAGGCAGGGGGACACCATCATTGGGACCTCACCCCAGGAGGTGCCCCTTGGCAACACATCATAAGCCAGCAGACCACATCCACCCAGTCCAGAGCTTCCAGGCCAGTAACCCCAGCAGCTGCAGCCCATCGGCCTTATTGGAAACTCGGCTTCCCTCTCACAGGATGCTGTGCCATTTGGGGGCTTTGGAAGCCTTCTCTGTTTTCTTCTGCAGAACCTCATCCACAGAACAGGCTGCATTCTGTGCTGCGGCAGGTTTCCTGTTTTGACATACAACCTTTCCCTTTGTGTCGCATTCTTGGTCTCTGCTAACTGTCTTTTATACATGCCTAAAGCCTTGAGAATCCTGGGCTGTGGCAGGTGATTAAGCTCCCACTTCAGTCTCACAACTGGAAACTAGGATATCAATCACGTGCAACATTTCAAAAGAAGGCAATCTGTTTGGAGCCTTTCATTGTCAGCGTTTATGGAAGGGGTCATATCAGGTGTTACAGCAGTAAGTGTAAAGCATTTTAATAGAATGGATCCTTTCTCCAGCTGACTCTTATATGGAAGTCCAATACCCAGAATTGATTAACAAGTTGCTGCTTATGACAGAGCAAGGGGGGCTCAGAGAAACCAGAGCCCCATCCGCTCAGCTCAGCTTCTCTTGCCCTCCTCATGACCCAGGTTACCTCCTAAAATGACATTTCCAGGGAGAGCAGTTAGCAATCCCAACTCAGAACAACTAAAAAGTACATTAATTATAGGGAAAAAAGGTAAATATGTTACCTTGTAAAACATGTACAATGTAAAACACGAGCAGTTATCCTTACCTGCATGCTTGTAAATACCAATAAAATTATAAGTAGATTCAACCAGGCAGAACTCAGCAACCATCTTCATCACCACCACCATCATCCTCACCTACATTTAATGAGAGTTAACCATGGGTCAAGGATAAGTGATTGACATATATTCTATCATTCCATTCAAACAACAAAATCATGCAGCCAGTATTGCTAGTGTCCACGTGTTAAAGAACTTGACCAAGATCCCCTAGCTACTGGGTAGGAGGGGCTAAGATGCAAGGCCAGATCTGCTGCACAGTCTTCTAGCATGCTCTTGGCCACTGAGTTGTACTAGTCCCCATAATAGGTACTTATGTCCTTCTTTATATATTTTCTTAATTTTTTTTACTTGAGTTAACCACTTCAATAATAATAAAGGTATTTTCATTAGAGACCAAAACAGGACAGAGAGTGGGGGGTGAGGGGAGACCCTGCGCCTTAAGTTCAGAAGTGAGCAGGGCAGAGATGCCCCGGATAGCTCATCCAGCTGGGGTCACCATGGAGGTGACCCTGCATGTCACAAAGGAAGGGCTCAGAGGACATTCCTCACCCCGAAAAGGCTCAGCTTAACCAGGCAGGTTCATCCTTCTTCATCATCTTCTTCCCTTCCTACTCATCAGAAACGTTAGAAAAACATATTAGTCTTTATATAATCAAGTATTATCAGATAACCATTGTAAAAAGAAGGGAGAGGGAAGGGGAAGTATAAGAGGACTAAAACTCCTAATTAACAAAACAGACCATGACTAAAGTCGATGAGTCAACAGACAGCAGAATAGATTCATTATTTAGGAATATGATGGAAAATGTTAGCAGAAACAGATCAAATTACACTGTTCTCTTGGGAAGGGACAATGGAGGAGGCCAAGAGGCTGGGGCATGAGAGATTGCTGAATTTTTATAAGCCTATTAGCACTGTTTGGCTTTTCAAATCAAGTGCAAATATTTCTATGATTTCTAAAAAAAAAAAAAAAAAAAAATTACAAAACAAAATAATAAAACCTACCCTCCTCAGTAATCTTCTTTAGCTTAATGGACTCCAGGAAAGACTTCAGACAGAGAGAATGTGGTTTGACGTGGCTTGTGGAGCCTTGAGAGCTGAGACACAGACCTGGTGTTTGGGGAAGAACACTGGATCTTGAATTAAAAGACCTAGGTTCCAACCTTGGCCTTGGTGCTCCACAATCTGTGACCTTGGGCAATAATGTGTAACATCTCTGAGCTTCTCTACCCCATAAGGGCAGGCATCCAGACCCCATGGAACCAAAAAGAGGATTAAATGATGTAAATCCCAACCCAATGATGCAAACTAACCTCACGGTGAGGCTAGAAGAGGTAGGGGCCTGAGCAGTCTGGGCCAGGGAGGACTGAGCCCTGGATAAGAGATGCAAGTTGCTCACCCATGAACCAGGCATTGAGCCCATGCTCGAGTCTCTGGACTTGAGCTGAAATTTTCTCCCCCCACCACCATGTTACCAAGTTCTCTGAGAACATGGAGTATGTTTTAAGTTTTTGTGGATTCAAGAGAGAGGTGGTAACCCAAGTGTCCATCTGCATCCCTCTGTGAGAGGCTCACCTATATCATGAGTCCATCTGACTTCGCATGGGGATTCTTGAACAAAGTCCTCACTCAAGTCTTCAAACTTAAAATAATCTCCAAATTGCTTAGCTGTAGAATCAAACTTCGTGAAACCTTAGGCCCCAAAGAGAAGTCTCCAGCCCTTTCTCCAGGCCAGGGTCCAGATCACCACTAAGTCAAGCTTTGTCACAGATCTGATCAGAGTTACCATTTTAGGACAAGAAGATGCAGCTCCCCAGAAGTAGCCCAGCATGGAGCCATATTTTCCAGGGGCTGGCTGCTGAATGCCTGGTTGCCAGGATCCCTCTTTCCCTTCCTCCAACTGGAATCACAGCCAGCACGGGTTAGGGGTGGGAGAGGTCTGGCAGGTCCATAGTCCCACAGGTCAGCTATCTCCTGTTATCAGAGAGACCCACGCACCATCAGACAGCACTGTTATTGATGGTGTGTCACAATATGGAGAAGTAGGAAGACACCCTGGGAAAAACGAACCTGAAACAAGACTCCAGACTGAGCCCAACGCACTCCCCCAGGACAGGGATAAAATGGGGACTGAAGTCTAAAATCTCTCCAAGGTCCTGGGAACACAGCCTGCTCTCGGCATAGGCAGCATGTGGGGGCTGATGATTCGGGCCTGCAGATTCACTCCCCCCACCCCCCCCCCAAAAAATAAGTTTATACTTTGGCACTTCCTACTTAGCAAGGGTTAATCACAATGTCAATTAATGCAATGATTACATTAATAAAATACCCGTGGTTCAGAGGGAACCTCCTAGAGACCAGCTTTGATTCCATGAGCACCAGGAAAGGGACCCGGGAAGGAACTCTGCAGAGGGAGGGTTCGAGGAGTAATTACGAGTAATTACCAGTGACTAAATGTCATTTTCCTGAGTCAAGTGATTCTCATTTTATTCAAGTGTCCTGGAAACGATGATGATGATTTTTTTTTTCCATTTTGGGGAATTTCTTTTCTGTCCAACAAATAACTTTCAATCGTCTGCTTTTAAAAGTATTTTGCAATTTCTAAATAATTTTTTTTTTAAATCAGGCTGACACTGCCAACTCCTGAGGGTTGGGTTTTTCGGAATCACCTACAGAAAGAGGGCTGTTCCGCCGAGAACCCGTGTGGGAAATTGGCCTGTATATCCTGTGCCCCGCAGCATCTGTTTCTTCAAAGATGTAGCCAGGGGGCTCAGGGTAAGAAGCCAAGCATCTACCTATATCCTTGGGGGTAAAGCTGATGGTGTATGTGGTCTGGCCCTCCAAAGGGACATTTGCTCGGGGACTAGACCAGAGGGGCTTACAGCTTTTGGTACTGGTGGGTGGGTGGGGCACATAGTGGGCCCTGGTGGTGGTCAGGCAGTCCAAGGGCTCGGTGGGACGGAGCAGCTGGGGAACGGGCTTGACTGACTCCATGCGCCCACTGACCCACTGCTTGTAGTCATCCCTGGTGGTTGTGGAGCCTTCGAAGGGGGGACCTTTCTTGATGCAAACCACCGGTCGGCAGGACTGAGCTGGAGCCCCCTTCGGGTATGTGTAATGGGATTGCGTTGTTGTCAGAAGGTCCATCTTTTCTTCAGGAGGGACGTAGGGGACAAGAGGTTTGTAGAACAACTGGGGTGTTGGCCATGCTTGGTACTTATCTCGAAACTCAGTGGTGTTACAGAAAGGTGCGTCTAATCTGCAGGAACTGACTGGAGGTTTCGTGCTCTTGGCGGCCTCCCCCATCAGGCCCCGGAAGGACTGTTTGTGGGTGGTGAGGCTTTCAAAGGGGATCTCACAGGGCTTGAACTTCTCTGCCTCATACACAAAACGTTTCTCTATAGGGTGGGGCACGTAGCTCATCTTGTAGTTAGTCAGATCCTCCAGGGGGATGTTACAGACCTTGGGCATGGCTGGAGGCTTACAGCTCATGGTGTTCACTAGACCCTTTAAAGCGTAATCATCCTGGTGTGTGGTTCTATAATCAAACTTGGCAGATTCTGGCCGGTAGGTGTGTTGTGGACGAATTAGATCTCGTCTTGGTTGGTTCCAGGGTAAATAATCAGCTGAAAATAAAGCAGAAGTCAAGTAATTATTCATAATTCAATTCACTCAACCTGCATGTATTCCAAGGGGTCTTCAAAGCCATACACCAGTCTTCAGTGAGATGTTCTTTGTGACAAAAGAACAGAGTGGATCTCTACCATCACTTCACTCAAGGGCTTGATATTTCAACTTTATGGTATCTGAGAGTTACTGTGCATAACAGAGAACTTTATATCACACCCTACAATGCTGTACACAGGTATTTTAGAGGGTCTATGGCCATGGGAAGATCCAGGGAACCGATTCTAGCAGAGCTGTCACACCACTGACCTTCCCTAGTCTAAGAAGAGTTCCATCCCTCTGTGGGGAAGGTGCATGTGATACAGTGAGACAGGAGAGGCACAACCCACAACTAATGGGCTGCCAGCCAGACCAACCAGGCCTGCCTGGTGTGCATGGGAAAACTGCCATTGTGTCCCTCACCCATACAGCTAATCCACACTAATCTAAGAAAAGAAGGGCATTGTATTGGCTGGTGAGAGAATAATAGCAACTGCCTCTTATATAGAGCTTATTATATCACTGACAGTATTTGAAATGCTTTCTGTGGTACCTCTTTTAATATTCAGACTTCCCTAATGAGGTGGGTACCATCAATATGCTCATGTTACAAATGCAGAGAGACTAAGATACTTGCCCACAGCCTATTCTGCCCAGATGGACCAGGCATTGAGGGGGGGTTGGGGGGGGGGGGGGAGTAGGGGTTGGGGGTGTGATGGAAACCCCAGGATAAAACACCACAAACTCACATTGTTCGTAACAATGGTTTAGTAGTGTTTCTTAAATAAATACTTTTTAATTTTCTGTATGCCTTTAGTTTCCTGAGCCCTAAAATAGTTGATTTTTTTACTGTTTTGTCCAGTTTTATTGTTGCTTTTGGGGCAGAGCATTTGCCAGGTTCCTCACTCCACCACTTTGGAAGTCCTGACATCCCCTTCCCCCTCCTCCCCCCAGACACACTCTTAAGTTTATTTTAGGCTAATAATACTACCAACTATTTATTTTAAATTGGCTTCATTTTAATTGAAAATCTAATCTTTCTCCAAGAGCCATTAATGGCTCTATCAGCATCTTGAAAGCATTAGGGGGCCTCAGAGAGAACCATCTTGCTGAATATAAACCACATGTTTCCCCGTCAGACCTCAGGCCTCCCTGATACGGGGCTATCTACCTGTAGATACCTACTCGCTGCCTCAAGGTCCGTGGGGGCTGGAAGGACAGGGTTTTTCTGGCCCTCTTCCATGATGGATGAAGTGATAAGCAAACAGGTTCCTAAGCTGAAAGTTGCCTCGTGTAATTTCTGATACCCAACAATACAGTTTATACCACATTATTATCCAACCTTCTAACTTCCACCACCCAGCATATATTACAAAAAAAAAAAACCTTCACAAGACCCTGAAAAACCTCAGTGTTTCACATGACAAACTGTCCATAAGCATGAAAATCATCAGTAAAGCCCTTCAGGGCCAGGGTGTCATGTGGGTAATTGGCAAGAACCTCTTTAAAAGGGAATCCATTCAATAATGTGACTTTAAAAAAAAAAAAACTTAGCTAAACCTAAAGCTGAGCATCAAGTAATTACACTCTCAATCTTTCCAATTGCACAGTGTTTTGAAAATGTCAAAATTACAACCAAATGCTGCTGGAGCATATTTTACTGGTGGTTTTCTAGTAGAGGTGCTGGCCATATGAATGGAAAGGGGAAAGTTTGCATATTTTCCCTGTAGAACCATAGTAAGTGGAGCATATAGATATAATATAGATGGAACCCATTGAAATACACATATTTAATGAGCTTGGTCTTTGGTTGTTTTTTCTTCCCCCTCTTTGGAAGGAAAATCAATGTACAGCCATAAAACCATAAGGTTGCTATGGAAAAAAAACTTACTAAAGCAGCAAATTTCCACAAGAGACAAACAAGTCATCAAAAGGTGATACTCCAGCCTGGCCAGCGTGGCTCAGTGGTTGAGCATCAATCTATGAACCAGGAGGTCATACTTCAATTCCCAGTTGTAGGTTCATGCAAGAGGCAGCAGATCCATGTTTCTCTCTCATCAATGTTTCTATTTCTCTCTCCCTTCCTCTCTCTAAAAAGTAATAAAAACATTTTTTGAAAAAGGTGATACTCCAAGAGATAAGGCAAGAGCCCCTCACACAGACAAGAGGTTGTGCAGGACTTATGCAAGGGCAGAGTAAATGCCATGGGTCTTCCCCAAGCCTTCACTCCAGCTCTTGGTCAGGACCCACTGAGTAATCAGCTAAGTGAGGATTTGTGCAAAGCCAATGCCACACTGTCACCGGAGCCCTTATAAACAACTAAAAGCCCGGTGCACAAAATTCGAACACGGGGAGGGGGGGGGAGGTTTCCCCGTCAGCCCAGCCTGCACCCTCTCCTATCTGGGATCCCTTGAGGGATGTCCGACTGCCCGTGTAGGCCCAATCCCACTGGGATTCACAATCTGGCTCCCAACTGCTTGCCTGCCTGCCTGCCTGATCACCCCCTAACCACTCCTCTGCCAGCCTGATCAATGCCTAACTGCTTCTCTGCTGGCCCAGTCACCCCTAACTTCCCTCCCCTGCTGGCCATCTTGTGGTGGCCATCTTGTGTCCACATGGGGGCAGCCATCTTTGACCACATGGGGGTGGGCATTGTGTGTGTTGAAGTGATGGTTAATTTGCATATTACTCTTTTATTAGATAAAATGGTCCAGAACTGCTCATTAATGCCTTTTTTTGCTATGCACATCTTGGTAACATCATCCCCTTTGTAATGTGCTAAATGCTGGGAAAACATGTGCTGGCCATTCAAGGCCCAGTTTTGGCAGCCATTATATATGATAGGGGAGTAAGGGAGCAAAGCAACCATTTACATTAATAGAATATGTTAAGTATATACTATTCCAAAAAACTACTAAGACACATAGGTTGCTAACAGGCACCTATCAATCAAATCTAACTATAAGTACATTTCATTGGCTACATACTGATTTGTTTGCTTTCACATCTGCATTTCAAGGGGAAAAGGAGAATATCAGGCTTTCTCAATTTTAACTTTGTCAGTAGGGAAAAGTCAGCCACCGTTTCATTTTAGCAGTGGAACACTATTCTCTGGTTTGCAGAGGGAAATTTTAGATGTGGCTGTTTGGAGAAGGTGAGGAATATGGAAGAGCTGGAGGGGAAGAGTTTAAAGCATATGTATTAGGTGGTTGTTTTTCTGTGTGTTTATTTTGAGTATTTTGCTGGAATAAAGAGGGAGGGCTGTTTTCAAATAACAACAATGGCCTACTGTGCCCTTGCCAAACCCTTAAGGCAAGCAAGAAGCATTTCTCACTCCCATACCTGTCCTTGCACCTAGGAAAGGATGGGAGGGAAACTGGGCTGCTCAAGCAGTTGCTCTAACCTAAGCAAGCCAAGATTCACAAATCCAGGAGGGCCACAGAAAGGGTGTAGAGGAAAGAAGAGTTTGTAGCTAAAAGTGCCTGCTCCCTCCCCCCTCAGAAGGGCTCCCTCCTACCTGCTCAGTGTCCATGGTACCCATTTTTAGCCTTCCGTAAACACCGAAGGAAAAGGAATCAGGAGGCAAGAGTGCCACAACCATGTACCTGTACTACTGACTCCTTTGTAAACCATCTACTACAGTGCCTGCCGCCTTGTTGGGTGTAACTGGCAAAGAGAAAGATGGATCCTTGCCCTCTTGGAGTTTACAGTCCGGCCACTGAGACAAATGTTAAGAGGGGTGGGGGTGGAGAAAATTATGCAATGAATTACAAAACAGGGGAGTACAGGGCACTCTTAGAGCATCTAACAGGATGTGTCTAGTCTGGCAAGGGGTCAGGGGTAGGTCTGGAAAGGCCTTGAAGGGTGTGACATTTCCGCTACTCACTGAAGAGCAAGTACTAGACAGGGCAAGGGAGGAGGGCTCTGTAGAGAGGAAATAGCATGAGGGACATGTCCTGAGACAGAAAAGACATGGCAGAAAGGAACTGAAAGGAGGTCCTGGGACAGGGCAGAGGGGCGCTGGCAGGAGGTGCCAGAATCCACAAGGCATCAGAGGAGTTGGTAAAGGGTTAGAGTTTTATCCCAAGAACCATGATAATTATGTGAGGACTTTTAAGTGGAGAAGAAATCAAGGAGGTGGCCATCTTTAAAAAAAAACCTCCCTTTCCCCCTTCCCCCCACCCCATCATCCCCCCAAGTTCCTTTCCAAGGAAAATGAGTAACTGCTGACAAGGCCACTGACCAGAGCTCTGCTCAGGTGTATGCCCGGAGAAGGCAGGACTGGGGCTTTGCTAGGAAAAATAACTAAAGAATAGAAGAGAGAGGGTGTAAAAAGACAGGCCACAAAAATACAACGTGGAAGAGGCCACCTGGGGGAAGGACACAGGCAGGGCTGATGAGGAGAAGAAAGACTAAAGTATCCATGGACTGGAGGTCCCAGTGAGGCCAAGGACTGTGGTGGGAGTGGGTAAGAGAGCAAGCGGAAGGACGATGGTGGGGTGCACAAAGGCGGAACCATTTCTGGGTATTACAGTGTCCAGAATGTGGCTTGGCAGAAGGTGGTTATGGAAAAGTGGACAAGAATGATAGCAATGATAAGAAGGTAGAAAAACAAAGACCACTGAGTCGCAGCTCCTAGGAGAAGCAGGAAAGATCAGCCACAGGTGAAGTCTTCTAAAATATAGATTTAGAGCTCCTGGAAGGGCTTCAAGAACATTCTACACTCCTCCCAAACCCACCCACCCCCCTCCAAGCCTCCTGACTCCTTTTGCCTAAGTGTTTGGCTTGACTACATAAAAGCAACTATTAGCACAGTTGCTCAGAGATTCACAAACATGTTACATGTACAGTTAAGCATGTATTCCTAGGGAATCTATGTGCATCATAAGCAGAAAGGTTACTAATAAGCCTGGCCTCCAGACCCATGGCCTCAGCCTATGGCTTGTGCTCCGTAGAGGGTCAGCTAACTGCTTGCACCACACATATGACTTCATGTTCTGTGTCCCTACCAGACTCAAAAGTCACAAAAGTTCACTGTGCTTCCTTCACAGTCCCTAATGCCACGTCTAAGATGTAGTAGATGCTTAATAAAGAATGACACCATCCCATTTATATAAAATTCAAAACTATCAAAACTAATTTATGCTGTTAAAATTCAGCATAATGGTTCTATCCAGGGTGGGAAGGGTAACTGGATAGGAGTACCAGTATTACATTTCTTGATTTGAGTGCTATTTATATGGGTGTGTTCAGTCAAAATTCATTTTCTATGCACAGCAAAGAAAACTATCAACAAGAAAAAAGACAACCTGCTGAGAGGGAGAATATATTTGGCAATGATTCATCCAATTAGTTCTTAATATCCAAAATTTATTTTTTTAAAAACTCACACAAATCAACACCAAATAAAACAAACCATACAATTAAAAAATGAGTAGAGGACCTAAATAGACACTTTCTATAAAAATGACATGCATATGGCCAACAGACATATGAAAAGATGCTCAGCCTCACTGTCAGAAAAAGTACAAATTAAACCACAATTAAATATAACCTCACACCTGTCAGAATGGCTATCATCAATAAGTCAACAAACATCATGTGTTGTTGAGCATGTGAAGAAAAGGGTATATTCATGTACTGTTGTCGGAAAATCAGTAAGGAGGGTTCTCAAACAATTAAAAATGGGACTGCCTTAAGACCCAGTGATTCCACCTCTGGATATAGATCTGACAAAACCCATAACACTAATTTGTTCAAAGATATGCACCCCTATGTTCATACAGCATTATTTACAATAGCCAAGATAGGGAAGCAACCCAAGTGCCCATCAACCCAGTGGATAAAATTGTTGTGGAACACCTTATCTGTGGGCTGTGAGCACTGAAGGGGGTTGTACAGAGAAAAAAAAAAACTTGTGGAACACATATAAATTGAACATTACTCAGCCATAAAAAAAGAATGAAATCTTACCATTTGCGACTGAATGGATGGATCTAGAATGTATTATGCTGTGAAATAAGTCAGTCAGAGAAAGACAAATCATCTGATTTCATTTATTATGCAATCTAAAGAACAAAATAAATGAACAAACAAAATTGAAACAGACTTTTAGACCAGAGAGCAAACTAATGATTGCCAGAGGGAATGGAGGTGGGGGGACTGGGTGAGAAAGGTGAAGGGATTAAGAAGTACAAATTGGTAGTTACAGAATAGCCATGAGAGGTAAAGTACAGTATAGAAAATATATTCAATAATATTGTAATACCAATGTATGGTGCCAGGTGGGTACTAAAAATATTGGCGGGAACGCTTTGTAAAGTAACTATATTATTATCTAACCAATAGGTGAACACCTGAAACTGATACAAATAATACTGAATGTAAACTATAATTAAAAATAAATTAAACAAATAAAAAAGAAAGAAATGACCCTGGCCTGGCATCTCTGTTGGGTGGAGCATCATCCCAAACACCAAAATTCCTGATCAGGGCCCATACTTAGGTTTTGAGTTCGATCCCAGCCAGGGTGCCTATGGGAGGCAACCAAATGGATCAACATTTCTCTCTCTCTCCCCTTCCACTCTCTCTAAAGTCAATAAAAACATATCCTCAGGAAAGAATTTTAAAAATAACTAGAAAAATAACTAGAAAAACAAAGAAATCAATACTTGTTAAATGCAATTTAAAAATTCATTAGTCTTTATAATTATTATTTATACATTTTTTCTGTCTATATGTTATGTTTCCATATTTTTTTAAATGAGAAGTAAATCAATCACTCCACTGAAATGCTTCCACCATGTAGGATTTCAACAGTAAGCTAAAGCAGGCGCTGGCGAAGATGTTCTATAAGAGGGGAGACATGGACTGTCTTAGGCCTTGCATGCCCCACGGTCTCTGTCACCACTTCTCGGCTCTTGCTGTAGCACAAAGGAGCCACAGAGGACGTGGACATGACCCAGCATGGCTGTGTTCCAACACAACGTCCTTATGAACACTCACCTTTGAATTTTGGATCATTTTCACCCATCCCTGAACCAGTCTTGAGTTTTCCTAAGCATTCAAATTTTAAAAACCATGCCTAGCTCCCTAGCTGTACAAGAATGGGCTGCAGGCCCAAGGTGGCCCACAGGAAATGTTTGCCCAACCTCGGCACGAAGGGGCTGTGCATGTAAAACACAGCTCCTGGCCTGCGTCCGCTCAGCCTGTCCCCTGTCCCTCTCCCACACTGCCCTCCAGCATCTCCCACCTTTGTAAGTGGGCAGACTCTCCATTCTGTCGCCACGTGGATGTTTACTGTCCCGAGGTTTGATGGGCTCCACTCGACAGATGGAATAGGGGTTGTAATCTTGCTTATACGTCGTGAGCAGATCCATGTTCTCTTCACTTGGGACGAACGGGTCATGCTGGTGGAGCTTCACTGGAAACACTTTGTGGGGCCCAAAATCTCTCCTGTAATGAAAACAAGCGCGGGCATGGGCACCTGGCTCAGGGACAGCTCTTGGTTTCCACTCAGCCCAACTCCACAAATGTCAGCTAAGAATGATCTACTCCATCCCCGACTGCTCTTCCTCCTCTGTTTCCCACCTTCGAGAAAGACACCCCCATTCCCTCCTCACACACGCCAGGCAGGCTCCTGGACACCATCTGGATCCACCCCCCACAGCTCCAGTCACTCACCAGCGACGGCCCCTCCAACTCATCAGTCTGTCTTCCCTCCAAGGCTCAGGCCCTGAGCATTCCTCACTTGATCCGGTGACAGCTTACCACCTGGAATTCCTGCTTCCTTACAGCCATTTCGACTTCAATCCCCCGAGTTGGCCAGAATAAGCCCTCTAACCAGAAAATCAGACCACCTTACTCCCCAGCTTAAAACCCGCCCAGACAAAGCCCAACCTTCTAGCATGGTGTGTAAGCTTTGCTGGCCCTGGCCCTGCCTTACTCCTCAGCCGCATCTCCCACCTCCGCCGGCCCACATTCCACCTCAACCACCCTGGCCACTGAGAAGGCCTCTCCTCTGGGCCTGCTCTTCCCCCCTTCCTTCCCCCCAAAGCCCCCTCACTGTGGAGCTAACTTCTGTTTTTTCAGACACCACCACTTCCTTCTCTGTGCTCCTTATAGCTTCTCCTGCTAATATTTATTCCCTTACTCTACTTGACCTTACAAAAAAACCAAAAGAGCAGAACAGTACAATAAATGGAGACACTGGGCTTTTCATTTCCCTGCTCCCTGGCCCCAGTGCCCTCATCATTGCAGGGAGCATGACAGTGGGATGAAAAAGCGTAATGGCCTCCACTCAATAGGAAACGCTCCCTTCCCTAAGCATGCCACAGCTACAGAGAGGCCAAAAGCTCACTCACTGTCCCTGGATCCCCCTGGCGACACCAGGGCTGGGCTGGGGCTTCCAGTCCCCACCAGGGCAATCCTGACTTCCAACTCTCGTGCAAACCCTCCTAAGCAAATACCTTCCCTATTCCCCATCCCCCCAAGGCTCTGCTTTACAGGACAGCCTGGTTTTGCCTGAAACCCATTTATTAACCTGGACAAGGAGAGGTAGATTGGCCCTGATGATGCTTGCCAAAGCAGCCTCGCCAAGGGAGGGGGGAGGTTTCCGGACAGGAAAACATCAGGCCCAAACACCAATAAAACCTACTTCCTGGCCGAAATCTGGAGCAGCATTACTGGGCCACGCATGACTGGCAAAGGTAACACGCTCCGCTGTAACCTGTCTTGCATGAATTATATACATGGTTGTCCATAAATGCCTGAAAATGCTTGGTGGGGTGGGGGCAGCGAATGAGGAAGCAGGAGAGCTGGTCTCCCCAGGGCTCTGTGGAGGAAATGGGAGATGCTTCAGTTGAACTCCCAGGAACACCCTCTGGGTAGATTTAAAAATATCTCTGGGCAGCAGTTCCAGGTCTTCAGCCTGGGCTCCCTTCCCCCGAGCCCATGTGGGTAAACAGCGAGAGGAAGCTGAGTGACCTGAGGCCACTGGCAGCCGACTGTGTACAACTGGGGCTCCAGAAGGAGCAGCTCAATGAGAACCCAAGGGTCAGTCCACACTGGCATCCTTCTTAGTGTAGCTCATGCCAGGGTCTGCTTAATACACAGCCAACTGCAGCAGCAGGGGGCTCGGGGTCGGGGAGGGCCTAGGCGGCACAGAGAAATGGCAGTTTCCAGAAAGCCCTGTGTGAATAGTGATTACTGCAAAGCAGTTCTTATCAGAGAGTTTGTGTTCTCAGGGGAGGGCTCCGAAGGTACAGGTGAGCTCTCCTCCTTCCCTAAAGGGATGGGAAGGCCCTAGCCAGTTTGGCTAAGTGTTGGCCCTTGGACTGAAGGGTCAAGGGTCTGATTCCAGTCAAGGTCATGGGCTCGTGTGGGAGGCAACCAATTGATGTGTCTCTCCCCCTCCCTTCTCTAAAAATCAATGGAAAATATCCTTGGGTGAGGATTAACAAACAAGCAAAAGAGGCGGGGAGAAGTTTGGAGGCAGCGGAGACCACCCACACACACACACACACACACACACACACACACACACACACACACCTGCCTGCATAAACCCATGTTCATCAATGGCTACCCCAGGGTTCAGCCCTGTTCCAAGGAGGAAGATCAGGAGATGCCAAGAGCAAGTGGTAAGAAACAAGGCCCAAAACCCAAGCTGTGCCCCACCCAACCCCAGAGCATCCAGGAGTGCTTTCCAGTCACGGGACCCTGCACACAGGTCATGGCATCCTCTTCCGGAGCCAGCTTCTCCTTCGAGATACCATGACAACCTTCTTTCAAGGGCTTCCTTCAGTGCACTTAATGCCCTACTTCCTGCTGTTTCTACAGAAAAAGAGCAGAAAAATGCCCAGAATCAAACACGGGTTCATGGACTGCCCTAAAGCTGGTTGCTCAAAAGCAAAAGCTGATTCAGCACAGTCCTTGCTCACTGTATTGAGGGAAAGAAATTGTTCACAAGCCTCCTTCTCCAGTACAAAATGTAAGTCCCTGTGAAAGCACATCTATGATTGACTATCCTAGTCAGCTATAACTAAGAAAAATGATCTTGAGGAGGAAATGATCTATTTCTGAAGAGCAGAAAGGTTTTCAGTTGAGCTCATTTATCCCCCACCCAAAAATACTTGCTGTGGCCTAGAGTGAATTTAATCTGAATTTATGTCCCTCATTATGTTTTTATGTTGAGGACATTCACTGAAACCTATCAGTAACCACAACGCAACTGCATGTCCCCAATCTCACATAATCCAACATCCTTTAAGGTCACATAAAAGAAAAGACTATTTTATCCTTCTCAGAAATTGCTCACATTTAGTAGCTTTTTTTTTTTTTTAAGAACACTCCCCTCTCTTCCTGTGTTGCATTTCCTAGTCCCTGTGCCTATTGTGACTAAGAACCAAGAAAAAAATTGGTCAAAGATGTTAGGTTTCTTTCAGGTGTGAAGTCATAAAAGTTATATAGTAAGGAGGGTGGAGAGAGAGAGTCTGAGTTAAGTCAAGGTTAAAGTGTCCTGCTGGGAAGGTCATAGCAACTTACTCCCAAATCACAGGAAAGTGTTTGACAAGAGTCTGACAAAAGGAAAGAAGAAATAACAAAACCAACAGCTCAGGGGCCTGGAAACAGGGCAAAGAAGATTTCCACAGTGATAAAAGGGCCATAAAAAACTGTTTTTTAAGACCTATTATTAATGTTTATCCATGAAAACTTCAGAATTTGTTAGTGTACCCAACTAATCAATCATATTAAATGGAATCCATTTTTAAAAGAGTTTCTCCTCACCCTAGCTGGTGTGCCCAGTGGTTAGAGCATCAACCTGCACACCAGAGGGTCTCAGGTTCGATTCCCAGTCAAGGGCAGATACCTGGGTTGCAGTTACATCCCCGCCCCCAGTCGGGGGGTATGTGGGAAGCAATCAATTGATGTGTCTCTCTCACATCGATGTTTCTCTCCACCCTTTGCCCCTTTTTTCCACTCTCTCTAAAAATCAATGGGAAAATATCATCACTCCTCCAGTGAGGATTAAAAAAAAGAGAGAGAGAGTTTCTCCTCTTGCCCAAAGCTAATCTCTTCACCCCTACCCTAAAACCACTCCCTCTTTCATGGAAACCTCATCTACGGACCATGTGCTTAAACCGTTTCCTTTACTGCCTCCTTCCTGTCAGTTTTTAAACATGCTCCATCCTTTCTAAACTTTAAGGGGTGAAAATAAAATATGACACAAGCCTTACTGGAGTCCATTCCCCTCCAGTCCTCTCTCCTTGCCTCTCTCTCCTAGGATAAAGACTTGCCTTCCTCACCTCCCATCACGCTCCACCCATCAACTCTGATTCTACTCCTTCCTAGCTCTAGGTGAGGCTGAAAGGATCACCTTGTTTCCAAATCTAGTCACTGCTCTGCAGGCCTTTATCCTCCTGCACCATCTTCATATTATCCATCCTCTCTCATTTTTTAAACACTCTTTCCCTTGACTTCTGAGATATTCCTCATGATTTGTCCTCTCTCTCTCAATATGGGGTTTTGCTCTTTGTCAATCAATTGATTTAATTTCATTACTTCCATGCAGGATTCTAAAATTTTCCCGAGTTAAAAAGCACCCTCTAAGAAAACCATTACATCATCCTGGGAAGGGTGGGGAGCCCATCCCAATGCCCTGAGGAAGGTCCTTAGGCTGAGTCAAAGGGCTTCATTCTTGTTGCTGGTCCTGATAAGAACAAACCGCTCTCCTCCACAATGAAAGGCAGTGGTCCAAGCGCCTGCCTCCAGGATTTAGGCTACATAGTTCGGTCTCCTGATCTTATCACCTTGACCCCCACTAAAGCTAACATCTGTCACTGCTTCATTTAAGTGCTGAACAAAAATATAAAAACAACTACCTGTAAGCACTAAAGAGCAACCAAGATAGGAAGATTCTGGAGCAGAATCAACAGGTGAAAGAAGGGAATGGCACTGGGTAAGCCTCTGTATGAGTTCCCACTTTGTTTCAAGGCTTCCATCTGAAGACAGACTCCCGTCTATGCTAGGAAGGGCAGCTAAAATGGAAATAGAACACCTTCCATATCTCTCTCTCTCTCTCTCTCTCTCTCTCTCTCTCTCTCTTGTGTTTAATATATTTTATTGATTTTTTACAGAGAGGAAGAGAGAGGAAGAGAGAGGGATAGAGAGTTAGGAATGTGCTGCAGCCAAAGTACATGCCCTTGACCAGAATCGAACCTGGGACCTTTCAGTCCGCAGGCTGATGTTCTATCCACTGAGCCAAACCAGTTTCAGCTTCCATCTCTCTTGACTGAAGAACCAGAGGACCAAACTTTGAGGCAACCACAGGTACCACCAGAAAGTGAAGAAGGAATCCTGGAAAGGAGGGAACCAAAGACAAGAAGCTCAAATTTTATCTATCACTGGGCCCAAATCTCTAGCTGACCTCACATGCATGTCAGCCTTCAAGCAACAGGCTAAAGGTAAAGAACTGAACTGAGGCCCAGCTGGTGTGGCTCAGGGGTTGAGCGTCGACCTATGAACCCGGAGGTCACAGTTCGACTCCCAGTCGGGGCATATGCTCGGGTTGTGGGCTCCATCCCCAGTGGGGGGTGTTCAGAAAGCAATCAATCAATGATTCTCTCTCTCTCTTTCTCTCTCTCTCTCCTTTCTTCTTTGAAATCAATAAACAATATATATTTATAAAAGACTAAAAATAAGCTGAACTGAGATTTAAGCTGCCACCCAAGACAGTTTGCATTTTCACTCAGTCCAATCAAGTCACTGCCTATCTGCTCTAAAAAGAAGAAAAAAACATCTTCAGAAGGGAATATAGAAAAATCTAGTCTCCACTGTATGACATTAACAATGTACAGGATCAATCCAAAACTACCTGGCAAACATACAAATGTGACCCACTCTCAAGGAAGAAAAAGATAAATCATGAGGACCAACCCAAGCAGACACAGATGTTAGGACCAAAGCAGCTATTTAACGATGCTCAATTACAAAAGGCAAAAATGAGGTCATAATGAATTAAAAGGAAACCACAGAAGGCAAGCAGTAACAAAATAAAAAGAACCAAATGTATACCCTAAAACTGAAAAATACAGTATCTGAAATAAAACATCTGCTGGATGGGCTTAACATTAGAATGGAGGTGGAGGAAAGATTCCGTAAACTTGAGAACAGATGAATAGAAACTATCCATGCTAAAGAACAAAGGGAAAAGAGATTGTGGGGGGAGGGATGAACAGGGACAGAAAAAAATAAATACTTGAAGAAATAATGGGCAAATTGTCCCCAAATTTAATCAAAGACACACAGCATCAAAGGCTGTGAAATTGCTCTGGCAAGTCTAGTGCTGAGACCTAATTCTGCATGTCTTCATTAATTCTCAGGCCAGTGTACAGAGGAGGGGTAAGTATGTCCCTTGGGGCACAGGTCTGAGTAAAAAGCCAAGTATGCATTTGAACAGAAAATGTGTAAAATTCCATGGGTGGGGAAGGACTCAAGCCTACTAGCAACTTTCTTGCTTCTTTCCTGGCTTTTGAAGAGGGTACCAAATGCCCTTTCTCTTTTTAGCTCTTGCTTCCCTGCCTCTCCTCAGTTTACCCAACGTCTTGTCAATAAAGGAAGACAGGTGCACTGCCAACTTCCTGCCCTCCTCCCTGCAGCCAAACCCACCAAGTCTGAACCAGCAATCTCCCCACACACATGTGCATCTGCAATTCGCCCTGACCATGGTCGCCCTTTAGGAGAAAGGTCTCCCACCATCTTGAGGACTCACTTCTTTCCTATGACGTTATCCACTTCGCCCCTCTTAAAGGATCCGGCTTACCTAACAGAAATCATGTCACAAAACGGGGCCCGGGTGTTCTTACAGAATGACACGCCTCGGGGGAAATGAGGTTTGAAGTATAAACCTCTTCTTCATAAACTGGTCAGAGGCTGGTCCTTTGTGGGAGAATTACCAAGGGCTGTGAGGAAGGGGTGCGGGGGCTGGAAATCACAGACCCCCTCCTTACGGCACCTGCGGTAAATCCTCGAGATTTACAGTCAGCAAGAGTTGTGTGCAGCTGTGCTCACGCCTCATGCTGGGATGATAACCTTTCCAGAAACCAGGTGTTTTTTGTGTCTGGGCTTAATCACCAAACCCAGCCAAGCCCTGGGTCACATGATTTTATTATGCAGCAGGTGGCAGCCCCACGGCCAATCTGGGAAACCAAGCCAGGTAGGTCAGCCTTCAGACAGCGACGTGGGTGGGACATTCTGGTAATAAGGGTCCCAAGGGCAGAGGGATGATAATCCATGCAGACACTGAGGTGTGCAGATACAGGGCTGACCCATCCCAGCCCCCAGAGGCCTCTTGGAGAGGGGGACACCCAGAACAGTTTTTCTGCATTCCTTGACAGGGAATTGTTTTGTATATGTCCAGATACATGAATCAGAGTCTCTGATGAGTTTGTAAGCCTCAGAAAAGATGGTTGACAAAGTCGTGATTTCTGCTCATTTATCTCAATAGGAACTCAAAAAAGAAAGCATCCCGATAGGGACATAGTTTTGTGGGTCTATGATCACTAGCGGCCAGCATGGAAGACACGGGGCTGAGAAATGATTATATTGATGTCAAGGAAAGATAAGAGATGTCTTCTGCTTATTTCTCCCTTAGTTCTCTTTCTGAGGAAGAAAACAAAAGACCGGGGAGAAGCAGTTCCGCTCTTTTCCCTTCCCCTGGGAACCTTGCTCCTCCCCCTTCTTCGTTGTAAGGCCCCCAGGATCACCAACAACTTGTTTTTGGAAAATCTTTCCATTCCTGCATTCCTCCACTTGGGCCACTTCTTGACATGAATGATATTATTACTCTGGCCCTGACAAGAACAGAGGGGCCTTCTGGGTGATATGTTTATTGTTGTAAGTGACGTGAGGCGAGGGTGATTTAGGACAGGTCAGAGGGGAAGTTTTTGTTTTGCAAAGCACCATCGGGAGCCCAGAGGGCCTGTGGGGCTCCATCCCGGGGCTCAGCCAGGTGACAGAGCATGGCTCCTGCCCCAGAGAGAGGGTTTATCCTCTTCTCCTATGCTTGTGGGCAACAAACAGAAATGATTCCTCGACACGTAACCCTCAGACATCCTTTTCCATATTTCCAGGACATGAAGCAGATCCCTAATACAAGATCATCTGAAGCTATGCTATCCTTTGCATTCTCAGGGAGCTCTTCATTTCCTGCAAATTGGGTATAAACAGATAAGAAAACCAGTATCTAGAGCCTGCATGTGATGTCTGCAAGCCCTTTCTCAACACAGCTCTTGTCTTTCACTTCCACTCACATGTCTCTTAGGAGTAAGCCAAGGACTGTCTATTCGTGTTAATCAGGGTTTCTTAAAAGGAAAAGCAATGCTCTGAAAGGGTCCACAGCTCTGGTTTGTGGTCTTTAGACTCTTAGAAACTAAGAATGCTGTATTTTCTTCGCAAAGTGAGGCCAAACTTTAAGGCTCGCATTGTTTAAAAAGCCATAGGCTGAAAAGCAGGTTGCATAAATTACAATTTTTTTAAGAGGGATCCGGAAACCTTGTGCTTAAACCAAATCACTTAAGAAACTGCTCTGTGTGACAGTGACCTGATTCAAGGCGAGTGTCAGGCGAGGTACTGAGTCCCTCCCTTTGTCAAGCTGTTCCATCCAATGGTTCCCACCAAGCTCAGTTCCCACCACATCCTTTCTCTGGTCTCCCCTCCTGCGTCTTTCCTGCCCCAGAACCCAAACGTGGGCTTTTTCCTCTAAACGTACAAGACAGCAGCTTTCAGTAGGAACCCTATGCCTCCAGCCCACCATCTAAGCAGAGCGTGTTCCCAGGCCCATCCTGGGGGACCCTGGGGACAGAATGAATTCGAGCTCTTCCGCCTGCATCCTCTGGGGCCTTCACCACAAAAGCACGGTCCCAGGCTCAGGGAGGACTTCACCGAGTCTTGAGCACCTGGAATGTGCAGGTGCTGCGCTGGGCCATTTCCTCTCTACCTCGAGGCAATCCTTCCGCCACGAGGGGTGGCACAGGCAGTGAGCATGTCCATCTTTCAGGCTTCCTCCGAGACTGATCTACGCCATCTGAAACGCTGCCCAGCTGCACTCAGAGATGTTTCTACTCCGGGGTCGCCGGCTGCAAGGTACCACCTGGCGGTAACTGAGGGGTCGAGGGCAGATTCTGTTCGAGGCCTGCAGCATGTAGAACAATCCTGAGGTTGATCCTCTCCCCCCAACCCCTCAATACAGACACTTCTGCAACCCAGATACACTGAGCCAAGGGGTTCAGTCTCTGCACGGCGCTGGAGCTAAGAATCCGAGTTTACTAGGCAAGAGTCATTTAAAAGGAAAGATTCCTCCTTGAAGAACATTCAAGGAAGGGAGGGGGGCCAATTCAAAGTCTATAGCGTAATTTCAAAGAAGCCCACTCTTCCTCTGTGATCAAGTTCTCCTTCACAACCAACATCACATCACCACCCACCTAAGCCAGGGGTCGGCAAACTCATTAGGCAACAGAGCCAAATATCAACAGTACAATGATGGAAATTTCTTTTGAGAGCCAAATTTTTTAAATTTAAACTTCTTCTAACGCCACTTCTTCAAAATAGACTCGCCCAGGACCATGGTATTTTGTAGAAGCCAAATATCAACAGTACAATGATGGAAATTTCTTTTGAGAGCCAAATTTTTTAAATTTAAACTTCTTCTAACGCCACTTCTTCAAAATAGACTCGCCCAGGACCATGGTATTTTGTAGAAGAGCCACACTCAACGGGCCAAAGAGCTGCATGTGGCTCTCGAGCCACAGTTTGCCGACCTCAGACCTAAGCTGACCCGGAGCTTAGCTGCCAAAGCCCAAAACCCCTTTTTCAGCAGCTGCCCCCTCTTTCCATCCCTTTATTATTTTACTTAACCTCTAACCCTTTTTATGTAGATCGATTTAGTCTTTCCCCTCCCCCGTTTCCCTGCTCTCAACACGAGAATCCTTTCTCTTTAAGAGGAGATTGGGGAAAACTGAACAGATTAACCCATGCAGGATTTTCAGAGACACAGCAAATTAACATTAAGACAGTAATAGCATATGTCAATAGTGCACATTAATACAGTATTGAACATTATTACATTATTACATCAATTGTACCTTAGTCTCACGCATTACCCCATTAACTATATGTTCACACATGCATACCACTGCCCTCACCTCGATGTGCTCAGGACTTCCATTGGCATGGCCCCTTTCTGGTACTCCGTCCTGGGCTTGAAGGACTCTCTGGGCAGGTATGAGTGATAGATAGGGTAGTTCTCAGTGTATTCGGAGAGAAGACATGGTTTCTCTGTTTTATCATAAATCTTGGTAGGGAGATGTGGACAATGATGCCGCCTATAAAAACACATGAAATTAGGGTGGTTACTTTCTTGAGATGATCAGATCCAGTTTAGTAATGCTACCTTCTCAAAATGTGACCCAGACTATGAATCCATGACTGCTATCTTTGAAGACAGAAATTTAGCCCTTTTTTTTCTACGGAACTACGTAAAGTCGCCAAATTTTTTTAATGATCTGTAATTGCAATTGGTTAATTGTCAAAATTTCTTGGATCATAAAGTTACACATAAGCACCCAGCCAGCGTAGCTCAATGGTGAGCATCGACCTATGAACTAGGAGGTCACAGTTCAATTCCTGCTCAGGGCACATGCCATGTTGCAGGTTTGATACCTACTGTGGGCATGCAGAAGGCAGCCTATCAATGATTCTCTCTCATCATTGATGTTTCTCTCTCTTCCTCTCCCTTCCTTTCTGAAATCAATAAAAACACATTACACACAAGCATGGCTGATGTTCAGCCATTACATCTACCCTATTGCTTGTTTAAATACTTCTCTGCATTAATAGTTAAATAGTTGTGGCCCCTGAGTCCTCTAAGTACCAACTCGACTGGCCCAGGCCCTCCCCTGAGGCCTCCAATCACCCAGCAATTAGGGCTCCACATCTGACCTAACAGAGTACTCCAAGTCTGTGCTCTGTCTGGTCAGGCTACTGTCTTTCCTCAGTGGTTCCTGGGTCAATTCTGGATGTCATTTTTGCACACAAGTGGTATACTAAATGCCATTGACTCCATGAAACCATATTCTCATTTTACATCTGGCCTTTATTCTGAAAGGTCTCACCTCAATTGCTGCATCTTTAGAAAGACTTCTGCTGATCATTTATTTCTAAAATACAGCCGCTCCCCTCTCTTTCTCAGTTTCTCTCACCACACCATATGCCCTTCTCATTACTTACCGTTATCTGTAGTTGGCATTGTCTATCTCATCTATCAAGTTCACGACCTTCTCTGTCTTGTTCACTGCTACATCCCTAGTACCTCATATCCTACCTGGCACACAGTAGGCGCTCAAAAATTTATTGAATGAATGACTGAGTATATAAATGAATGATTAAATAAACTCTATGTCTCATTATGCAGGTGATAAATAATAATTTGGCATTATATTTTATTTTATTTTTTAAATCAATCTTTATTGTTCATATTATTACAAAGGTTCCTCATTTCTTCCCCCCTCCACCAGGTTCCCACCCCACCCTCCGCCCCCTTCCCCTCCCCCATTGTCCTCATCCATAGGTGCACAGTTTATGTTCAGTCTCTTCCTCCCTCCCTTTCCCCGATAGTAAATCCCTTTTCAGATAGTAAATCAGTTACTTAGCATTTTCTCATATCAATAATATGAGAAAGATGCCCAAAGATACACTTCACACATGCCCAAAGATACACTTCACACAAAAGACATTTCCAAATAGGTCAACCAACCTCATCCAGGCCCCGCACAAGGCACTCACAGATCAACACCCCAGCGCTATACTAACTCAACATATCCAGATCTAAGCCTTCATCACTTGATTCAGCAGACCCTCAAGTTCCCGCAAAAGTTTCCAGCCATCTCTGAGAGGCAGCCTTGGAGCGGGGGTAGGCGAGGAGCGAGCTGTTCCGGGCCTGGCTGCTCCGTTGCCATTATATTTTATAGTGAGCTTTTCATTTTACATGTTAGTAATAAATGAACCCTATTATTCTACTAATTGCTGGACAATAGGTAACTATTTTGAGCTCTCAAAAATTAAGGAGTGTATCAATTATTTGTGTGCCCATATACAATCCTTAAAAACCAGTGGGGCACCTCTAGTCTTCAAACACTAGCACATTGACAAAACTCCATGAGTGATTTCCAACTTGGTTATATGAAGGAATAGCATGGAATTATTATAAAATTTTTTACACTGAACTGATTTTAATTACAGAAATTAAAACACACAGCACTCTGGTGCCATGCATAGGGAAAGAAAGAAAGAAAGAAAGAAAGAAAGAAAGAAAGAAAGAAAGAAAGAAAGAAAGAAAGAAAGAAAGAAAGAAAGAAAGAAAGAAAGAAAGAAAGAAAGAAAGAAAGAAAGAAAGAAAGAAAGAAAGAAAGAAAGAAAGAAAGAAAGAAAGAAAGAAAGAAAGAAAGAAAGAAAGAAAGAAAGAAAGAAAGAAAGAAAGAAAGAAAGAAAGAAAGAAAGAAAGAAAGAAAGAAAGAAAGAAAGAAAGAAAGAAAGAAAGAAAGAAAGAAAGAAAGAAAGAAAGAAAGAAAGAAAGAAAGAAAGAAAGAAAGAAAGAAAGAAAGAAAGAAAGAAAGAAAGAAAGAAGGAAAGAAAGAAGGAAAGAAAGAAAGAAAGAAAGAAAGAAAGAAAGAAAGAAAGAAAGAAAAGAAAGAAAGAAAGAGAGAGAGAGAGAGAGAGAGAGAGAGAGAGAGAGAGAGAGAGAGAGAGAGAGAAAGAAAGAAAGAAAGAAAGAAAGAAAGAAAGAAAGAAAGAAAGAAAGAAAGAAAGAAAGAAAGAGAGGGAAAGAGAACTCATCACCCTCTACTCTAAAGCTATTTTCAAGGTAACAATTAACTAATAAGTTCAACCATTTATGTAAATGTTTCTGTCAGAACATTTGTTGTTACTGGGTACCTCACCTCAACTCTCCAACTCACAAAAGAAAATGATTGACACCTGTATTGTTCACATGAATACAACTGCATATAAACAAGTTCCTTTACAGATGTCTCTATTTTCATTTATAGATATCTATCTTGAAAATCCATAAGACATAAACTTGTTACATTTACATTTTACCTTTGTGACCATAAAAGTAAATTCATGACAAATATTTTAAGTTTTCTTAATTATTTACTAGGAAATATTTCATAAATATTTTGTCCTTATAGTATCAATATCTAAATTTCACAGCATTAAATAAGCTCAATAATTTTTTTTCCTTTCTCATAATGCACATTGTTGGCATTTAATATTCAAAGATTAACATGTATTTATATCATATATATTTAATAAAGTAGCTCCTAATTATAGGAACATAAGTTGAGTGCTTTAAATTTTCTGTCCACTTGAGATAACTTTTTGTTTCACAGTAAACAAATAACCATCTCCTACATGATAAAAAAACATTAGCTACTATAATATTACCATTGCTATGCTCACAATCCATCCAATTATCTGAGATTTCAATCCAAGCTAATTAGTGTCCTATTATTTTAGGATTCCTACAAACCTCAAATAAAAAGGCAAGAATTGTGTTGACTACCAAAAATATCTCTGCAGATATATTTTATCTACCCACACTCTGATAGAAAAGTCAAGATTTTATTAAGGATAAAAGATTCAGGCACTTGCAATGAAACAGACTCTACAGACATAGCAATATTTTTCTTCTCCAGTGCCCTTGTTTTTTAAATCAGTAAAAACTTTGCTTTTATATAATAACCCCTTTTCTATATTGTTACTTTTTAAAACTGTAATATACTGTAAAGGCTTATTCCAACAAAAAATAAATTTAATGGCAAAATACTACATTGTGATTGGTATCATGAGAGGGGGTTTTAGTATAGAGAACGTTTGCATCCAGACATTGATGTTCCATTAAATGGAATTACGTCTAATATATATTTATAGGGCAGATTTTATTCATTTAATTTATTGCTAGTTAACTAAAACCTTGTCTTACTTTGAAATATCAAAACTCCTATTTCAAAGTAAATATGTCATTGCCTGAGTTCGCTCAAGGGGTCACCTCCTTTCCTTACCTGCACACACACACACACACACCCTGAAGATCCCTCTGAAGCCACCAAACACTATTGCATCTCCTTGTTGGTCTTTATCCAGAAGTTGCTCAAGGATAAAAACCAAGTCTGACATCTGTGTTCTGGAGGTTAGCCCAATGCCTGACATATTTAATTAACAGACAGATGAACAGTTGGGTAGTGTACAGGAATACAAACTACTGAAAGAAAGATATTTACAAAGAAAATTAATCGTTCTAACATTAGTAGAGGAAAAGGGGGAAAGGTTGATTCTCGGTTTCTATGGACCTAGATAGCATCAAAGGGAAGTCTATGGATCCACCATACTTGGGGTATTTAAAAGTAGTCATATCAGTCATGAACCGAAGAAATGAGACCTCTCCAGCTCTCTGACACGTGTATCATTTTAGGAGCTGCTGTGGCCACCTTGCTCAGGACACGGACACAAACCTAGATGGGCTGATGGGCAACAAAGGAGAAGAGGAGAAGGTGCTTTAATCTCTCAGAACTCTCTCAAGTCTTTCCACTACAGGATACAGAACCAGAAGTAAAAGGAAATCATCTTGATGTTTTCTGATATATGGTAATGGAAGTAGTAGAGACTTTTCAATGGAACCCAGAAAAGTAAAAGACTAGTTGACTCCAAACTAGAATCAGAATTTTAAAACTAAGGATCCAGAAGAATATTTGACCCGATGTCCCCACTATGCATATCAAAAGTCTGAAGCTCAGAGAACAATGGAACAGAACACAGAAATCAACCCAAGCCAATATGCTCCATTAATATTTCACAAAGGAACCAAGAGCAAACAGTAGAGTCAAGGCAGTCTCTTCAATAAATGGTGCTGGGAAAATTGGACAGATACATGCTAAAAAATGAAACTAGACCACTAACTTACCCCAGACACAAAAATAATTTCTAAAAAAAATAATTTCTAAAAAAAAAAAAAAAGACTTAAATGTAAATCATGAAACTATAAAAAATCCTAGAAGAAACCATAGGCAGCAAAATCTTAGATATCTCTCATAGTAATATGTTTGCTGACACATCTAGGACAAGGGGAACAAAGGAAAAAATATATGAGACTACATCAAAATAAACCGCTTCTGCACAGCAAAAGAAACCATCAACAAAATAAAAAGAGATCTCACTGTATGGGGATACATCTAATAAGGGGTTAATTTCCAAAATATATAAAATATGCGTTAAGACTTAACAAGAGGAACACAAACAATCCAATTAAAAAATGGGAAAAGGACCT